CGTTATATACGTACCACCACCTGATCAACTGGTATACGTTGATGATTTCGCACACAGAGGCTGAGATGATATGATAGGATGTCCTCAGAGGCTTGATGATGTTATGTATGCTTATAACTATGCATGATATGACATTTATATGCATATGCATGACATTATAAATGTTTCATAATTCAAAGAGTTATTCAGACTTACAGGTTGAGTTATTTACTATATGGAGATTTCATGTCTTTTATATACTGCTTTCATGCCTTACATTCTCAGTACTTTATTTGTATCGACGTCCCTTTTGCCTGGAGATGCTGCATTTCATGCCCGTAGATCCCGACAGATGGGTTGACAGTCCTCCTAGTAGGCTATCAGCTTAGCGAAAGGTGTTGGTGCACTCCACTTGCTCTGGAGTTTCTTATTTGGTAAGTATGATTTGGACATGTATTGATTGGTATAGAAGGGCCTTGTCCCGACCTTTATGACGTTTATATACTCTTAGAGATTTATAAACAGATGTCATGTACATGGATACTTGTATGGCGTTGTCGGCCTTTGTTTTGAGTGTAGAAATGATCATGTCGGCTTTATATGCCCGTCTGTCACATGTATAAGTTTCTATACCATGTTGGGTTGCCCTATGTCTAGTATTCCCTTATGGTTTATTCTGGTTATCTCATGACAGTCGTTCTGGCCCATTTACCCATGATGGTGTGATAAAAAAAATACGTTATATTGGTACTTGGCTGAATAAGGCACCGGGTGCCCGTCGCGGCCCTCTGATTTGGTTCATGACACAAACAATTGGGTAAATGATATTGATTCACTTTTGATTATATAACATGATTATTTATGAGATTTAACACCTAATTCATGGAATTTGAAGAGAACTTTTGGGGATTGTTTACTATGTTTTGAAAAATAAAAATTTGAGTTTTGAGTGTCGAATTGAACTCGGATTTAAAAACCAAATATATATAAGGACTCGTGGGGTTATGGGTAGTCGAGATCTATCCTTTGACCCGAATTTTGACCAGACGGGCCAGGTGTTGACTTTTGTTATTTTTAGGAGAATTGTGTAACGATCTTAACTTTATTAATCAAAATTGGTTTATTTTGCATTGTTTGATGATAATAAGTTATTTTTATTATATTTGAGCCGAGTGGAGGTGAATTTTAAAGAAAAAACTATTTTTGAGTGTTCAATTGGCCTAATTGAGGTAAGAATCTTGCCTAACTTTGTGTGAGAGAATTACCCCTTAGGATTCGGTCTATTTGCACTACTTAAACTAGGTAAATAAAATATGTATGCGAGGTGACGAGTGATAATTGACCCTACTAGACTCTTAGCTATTAATATGCCTTGAATTGACGTTGTTATATGAAGCACATTCCATTGTTGATTTACTTTCCATACTCTTGTGTCATCGTCGAAACTCTTGTATACCTTGATCTTGGGTCGTGGGCTATGTATTATTGTGGCATTGATATTGTTGTTTGAGAAATATTATGGAATATGGGCACGTGGTGTACGGTTGATTATTGTGTTGTGATTGAGATGCTTATGTCGCTAGTAAGGGGGCTTATGCGCGTGTCGCTAGTAAGGAGAAATACTTCATTGTGTTGCATATGTGGCGAGATAAGGGAACTAAAGCGTGTGTAGCTATTTCGAAAAAAGCTTTTTTAAAATGTGAAGCTCACGCGGTGTCATAAGGGTGAATTGTGACTTGTGATTTGTGACTATGAGGTGTGGTACCTTGAGGTGATTCTTATTGTTATTCTTGTGATTTGTACAACTTGATTAGTTGAACTTTTCGTTATTTTCCTTAATTGACTTCACTTTGTGTATTACTTGTTGTATTTAATTTGTCATGTTATTACATGTTTACTCTTTGTTGTCATTTATTGATTTTGTTTTCCGTTGTTAGCTATATATATTGATATTTTGCACAGGTTTTAAGTTTAGTGAGTGCTTTGACTTGAACCCTGTCACTACCCCACCAAGGTTAGTCTTAGTACTTAATTAGTACCGTTTGTAGCGTATCCATACTTCACTTCTGCACATTTTTGTGGAGATTCAGGTACCTCTGAACGAGCTGGTCGTTAGGGAGTTGACTATCATAGTTGTTGTGGAGAGTTCAAGGTATATCTGCAGGTAGAGTCCCCTTCTATTGTTCTTTTGCTACTATTTATTTTATTTCCAGGCAGTGTTGATTTTGTTATGGTATATTTCAGCTTTATTTTGATAGTTAAATGGTTTAAATCTGTTAATATCATCGTGTGTTAGACTTATCTAATTTTAGAGATTAAGTGTCATCACGATCCTTAAGGTAGGAATTGGGCCGTGACAAAAGATTTCAATTTATTCGAAAAATACTCTTTCAGATATTATCTCTAATTCAAATTATTTAATTTCTCTCCGTTTGGTGGGGTTAGCCCCCACGTGCATTAATCCAATTTAACCACCAATTAGTGTGGTTGACTCCTAACCATTCGAGTCTAGAAAGTGATTACGTGTTTCATACGCGGAGGTGCTTAGACATTGGGAGAAACTGTACAAGTTAACTCTTTGAAATAAGTAATAACATATGGAAGTTGGAAATTATAGATGCCTTCAAGTTACAGGAAGCAATTGAAAATGCTCAACTTCAACATTACATAAATATTGTATATAGTTCAGTAAGTGCAGCTAGCATTAGATAGTGATGAAATAGCACTAGTCAAAAAGTCACCAAATTCCAATAGCGTATGACACAACAGTGTACTTCCACCATATGAACTATATATGCGGTGGACTTCTTCTGCCATCGCCAAAGCCACTGCCACCCCCATATACTAAATTAATTAGAACCAACCCCATGCCTTTCCCATCCCTAAATATTTTATTCGTATCTCCATATTGATGACATTAAATTTTGGGATTTCTGAAAATCCAGTGTGAAAGTATAACTTACCCATAGCTATCTCAATTAATTCACCTTTCCATGTACAGTACTCCATGTTTTACCGCTTCAACAAACTTCATTCTCCATTTGAAATTTACTTCGTTTGACTATAAATATGATTTAAAATTCTTAAATATGTGAAAGGTTAATAATTTACTGCTTTCAACCTTTGTCATAATATCAGACCATGAATAAATAAGCAAATGCAAATCTAGAATTTGAAAGTGGCGGGTGCCATAATTTTCTTTAATGTACACCTTGTAATAACTAATGTAGAGTTTGTTTGAAATGTTTGTTCGGTTCATTTTTTTAATTTATTCAGGCAATTTAATAGGCATTTTTTTATTTACAAATATGAAAGTTACACATCTCTTTTCCGGACATAGCTTATGGGATTTCAATGGGTATGTTATTATTTTTGTATGAAAATTACATCCAGGGCGTCAAGAAGCAAATGTAATTAGCATTTTAAAGAAGGAATCACACCTTGATTATTAACAATACAAGTAAAACCGATATTTTCACTAGGGAACTACATCTTTTTTTGTATGCTAAAAATAAATAAGTAAAATAACATCATCATAAGGGAATTTCATCAATCAAAAAAAGAAAAATACAAAATATATTTCAATAAATAAATTATACCCCATAAGTAAATACAGAATTAGATAAACTACAAGATCCAAAAAAACAAAATCATAAATCTTATATTTTTCTAGGCAATGCTTACGAAATATTCATTAAAGAGATTTAAATTATATTTAAGAATAATAAAATAGCACAAATTTTTATGTTATAATAAAAAAAAATATAAAAATTAAATTTGATCTCAATCCAAATTTTCGATCAAGACCCACGTTTTTTTTGTGTTGAAAGAAAAAAACTAAAAGATTTGAAATTAAGGGAAATCCTTATTTTAAGAAAATTTTAAATTTGGGACTCTTTTTTGACTGTTCTTGCTAAAGCTCACATATAAAATAATAGAATAGAGGAAAAAAATATAAAGGATAATAAACGACAAGTAGGAAATTGGGAGGTAGTCAAAAAGAAAAATAATTGGGACAAAGAAAATAAAAAGCGCAACGAAAAGGGAAAGTCATACAAGGTTCTAGATAAATTCGAACTTGAATTTTAAACACGAAAAAATATTTCAGAAATGTCTACTAGCCATGACACCTTTGTCTAGTTTACGACTGGGGGTGACATGATCAAATATTTAACCTAATTTAAAAAAATATTTATATAAATATATAATAATTTTACTAACCTAGCGGGTGTGGTACCGCCACTGTAAATGAGGACAAAGTCCTGAAAGCAATGATACAGACATACAGTCACATGGCTTAAAAGGAAATTATTTGCATTTCCATACTGAAGGACGAAGCTATATATGGTCTACTTAGTATTTTTATATCTTTTTCTAATTCTCACTTTTTGATGTCTTTGCGAAAATAACACATACATCTATGACATTTGTTTTCTATACTATGATCCTATCTTCCTGTTATTATATCTCTTCACTTCAAAGATAGTAATGCTTTCGACTCGTGCAGTGATGACTCATACTTGCACTAGCAACATGAATTTAAAAAAAGAAAAACAAAATGAAAGAAGTCGTCTCTTAATTTTGACATGTCACTTTAGCAATATGAATTAGGAAACAAAATGGAGGAAGCCTTCTCTTAATTTTTTTCATGTCACAACATACATACTTTTCAGTTTTCATCTATGAAGAGATTGGGGTGAAAGAAGAAATATTATATATTTTGCTTTATTTTATTTTTCCAGTCTCACGTGCAAGGCTAGTACTCGTACTACAAGATTTTACCAAATATATAGCATGATGTGTTCAAACAACTTAGCAGACAATTCTCTTATTTTACTTATGATGGTAAAAACAAAAGTAGCCATCTGTCTCAAGGTTGGAATGTCAAAATCCATGTCTTAAATAGCATCATGTTTTTGTGGGCTCCTTTCTTTGCCTCTAAAATACTCTCTCTACCGTATTTATAATCCAACTTACAAGCTACATATATAATACATATATTTATATTTGGTTAGGCAATATAATCCTCTGTCTGCAATCTGTACGGTTATACCAGCCATGGAAATTTTAACATTAATCTGCATTTATTTCTTGATGATATTGAACTTAGTCAAATCTAGCCCGCCTGAAGATCCCATAAAATGCACATCCAACAACAACTTCAACTGCACCATTACAAACTCCTATGGCGCGTTCCCGGATCGGAGCATTTGCAGGGCAGGTCAAGCTGTTTTCCCTACAACAGAAGAAGAGCTCATTGCCGTAGTGGCAAATGCAACAATGATAAAGAGAAAAATGAAAGTGACAACTCGGTTTTCTCATAGCATACCAAAGTTGGTGTGTCCAGACGGCGAAGATGGGTTGCTTATAAGTACCAAGTTCTTGAACAAGATACTAAGTGTGGATAAAGAAAACATGAGCATAACAGTTGAGAGTGGGGTGACGTTAAAACAGCTGATTAGTGAGGCAGCTAAGTCTGGGCTGGTTTTGCCTTACGCACCTTATTGGTGGGGTTTAACCATTGGTGGTCTAATTGGGACCGGCGCTCATGGAAGTTCTCTCTGGGGTTTGGGAAGTTCAGTACATGATTATATTCTTCAACTTCGAATTGTCACACCAGCTGAAGCCGCTCAGAATTATGCTCAAATCCGTACATTGGAAAATGGTAACCCTGAACTGGATGCAGCTAGAGTGTCCCTAGGTGTCCTTGGAGTTATTTCACAGGTACTTTCTATATATGTCTCATTAATTACTCTCTCAATTTATGTGACATATCTGACTTGGCACATAGTAGATTAAGGGTTTAATTCATTTTTTGGCCTTTTACAAATTTGTTTTTAGTTTTATAAATTTATATTTTTTTTTTTATACATGAGAGATTTACTTTTACACATAAGAGATCTAAAAAAAGACATTTTCTTAAATTCAACATTGTAAAAGGCCAAGAAGGCCTAAAATCTCTAGTTTAACAGAAGAAAAAAAATATTTATGAAACCTGTGGTCTACAATAAATCATAAATTTTTAAAAATAAAATAAAAAATTTAAAGTTAAATTATTTTTAAATAGAGAAGTATGACATTCTTTATTGGGCGGACTAAGAACCCGTTTGGACATATGAAAAATTTCATCTTTTTTCAAAAATATTTCACTTTTTTTCGAAATCAGTGTTTGGCCACAAATTTTCAAATTTTCACTTGAAAATAGATTTTGGAATTTTTCGAAAATTTGAAAAATTTTAAAAAACTGTTTGTCAAAACTTTTTTACTCATATCACTCACAAAATTTCAAAAGCAAACCAAAATTATATTCATACCCAAACACAACTCTAGTTTTCAAATATCATTTTCACTTGAAAATGATTTTTCACTTTTTCCGGAATTTTACAATTCTTATGTCCAAACGCCCACTAAAAAAAGTTTTTCCTCCGTTTCAATTTAGATAATATAGTTCACTTGGCACAAAGTCTATAAAAAAAAGAAGACTTTTAAAACATGTCCTAAAAACTTAAGGGCAAAAGTTTTGTGAGGTCATGATATTTATGTGAACGTAAATGCTTATCGTTAATGGTAAAATAAAAAGGTTAAAGTTAAATTATTTCTAAATAAATAAATATGTTGATTTTGGAACAAATTAATAAGAGTGTTATTTAAACTGAAACGGAGAAAGAGAAAGAACTACACATAAATTGGGATAGAAGTAGTCATTCATATTGTCTTAATATTCTCATTCTCTCCCGCACGACCTTCCAATTGTTCGACAATGAAAAGAAGGGAAGTTTTTGGGTGAAATAATGAAAACTGAAAATTGTCCACATTTTTCTGAAAGCTGAAAAAAGTTCTCATCCATGATTTGAACATTTTTTAAAAATATTTAAAAGTAGGATGTTGATTTTAAAATACTCCATTCATGTCCATATTGTTGGTGGTTTACGATTTTTGTACACCTTTTAATAAAATTATTTATTAATCATAATTATTTTAAAAAAATATCGTTTATACATGTTACTTAATTAACACTCTTCTAACTGGAGCAGTAATGTTGAACTTGAAAAAATAATCAATACTAAATGTTTTTTGCTTTTTAAGACATCAAATACATTTGAAACAGTGGGGGTACTATTTGTATGGTCCCAGCAGCTAAGTTAAGTTGCTGAGCTTTTTGTGGGGATCAAATTATTTGCCATAAAATGTGGAAACATATATAGTCCTGGACCACGTAACGTTACTGGATGAATTGTACATGTCATATAACTTGGGATATAGTTTTAGGTCGCATAGATGTAACTGAATGATTTCATTAGTTTTGGTGATACGGGAAACATATGTACAACTTATGATCCAGTGATCAATAAATTGAATACAAAAAACGATGAATCAAATCTTAATAGTAACAAAAGAATATACTAGGTGATTTCTTTCTGTATGCCAACCATTAATAGGCATAACTAATTGATACATGTGCTATTGAAAATAGCACGTGCGAATGAAATAATCAAGACATGCAAGTTGATCCAGATATCATCATTTTAAAAAAGAAAAGAATACTCCATAATAAAATAAAAATGTGGTTAAGCCGTTAAGCCTATGTTTGTGACGGTGGTCCAGGTATGGCTGTCTAACAGGAGGGGAGGGGACTAGACAGAATGGACAGAACGGGATGGGACGATTCCTTTACGGGATAAGTGGGAGCGGGACCTTACTAGGTTGGGATTAGCGGGACGAACCCCCCGCCGTCCCATCCCACTAACTAAAGGACGGGTCGGGACAGGTCATGGGCCCTTAGTGAGATTTTTTTTTAACTTTTATTAATTTAAATATTTAAGCACTAAAAATTATAAAAAAAAAAACTATGAAGTAATCAAGTAAGATAATTCTTACATAATTCAAGGCTAAAGCCCTTTAATTTATTTTATAGAAATTTGAAATTTCACACACAAATACAAGCACCTTAAGAAGAGCACCTAATCTACAATAAAGGCGGATCTAAGATTTCTTGAACATGGGTGCACCACTAAAAAAATTAAAAAGAAGGTATTAATCGGGTATTGGTCCTTGTTCCTCTAGGTAAATAACCTAACATTCAACCAAGTGCATCATTCGGTCTTTTTGGAGCATGGGTGCCAACAACTAATATTAGACCAATTCTAGAGAATACGTATATAAAATACCTAGTTTGACGAAAAGACCATGGGTTCACGTGCCCCATGATTGTAGTTATAAATTTGTCCCTGATCTACAGAACCACCTTCTAGGAAGGGTTCTATTTGAAGTAGGTCTCTAAGTAGCTAACTATAAATTATCATACTAATATATGTACTCTCATATAAAACTTCTTTCTGATTTTCGTATAATTTCCACAGGAAGCTCCTTTAGAATTGGTAATGACGCATGATATTTCATGAGTTTCATGTTGTCATCGCTTCCATGCTGAGTATCTTACCGTGTTCTTCTTCTTCTTGAGTGGTTAATTTTGGTTGGCCAAATTTTCTTCTTTTTACATTGATCCAATCTCTAAATAAGATAAAAATGTCTATGTTGTCCTCCGCTAATGAATGTCTGAGATCTCTGATTTAAAATCTTTCCGCACTCTCACTATGTTAAAAGTTGCTCTTTGCCTTATCCGTCTTTGATAGATTCCAATACCTGATTAAGATAAGCATCAAACTCATTTTTAAGTACCACTTGAATCAAGACATATTAAATTCTGAAGTTGCCATATTTTTTTACTTATCAAACATTAGCTTGGCATAAATATATATGCTATTTTAGCAATTTTCGACAGTTGGCCGTTCAATTTTTGAAAATTTAAATTCTCATTAATTTTATAAACAAGTCTTTTTGCACCTTATAATTTTAAAGATGGGTTAAGTATATTAGAAATTAAATAAACGGTGATAATAGAAAAAGAATACTTTTTAAATTTCAAAATTATTTCAACGGCTAGTGCATGCCTCTATTTGTTTTAGACCTAGGAAATATAACTAAAATTTCACAAATATACTATAATATTTGTGTAATAGTAGGATATATATATATATTATTTAGTAAGCTTTTGCATATCATCCTAATCTGACTCGATAATTTGATTAACATGGTTAGTATTATCTGCACTAAATACCATTTATATAGACAATCGATAGACATAAATAACTTTTAGCATGACAAATTTCTTTTGGAACTTTTGTATGGAAGTTCAGCATATGCATATCTCTCTTTAAATTCACGAATTCTACTCGCTTTATTAGCACAAAAAATATAAGAACAAGCATATTATATTTTAGCACAAAAAGCAAAAAATAAATCAATATCATCTTTTACAGCAAAATTAAAGATATAACATGAAAATTTGAGTCATAAAATGAGAAAATTCTAACTTTTAAGTTATTTGCGGCAGCGATATTCGAAGAAGCATTACCTAATGTAATAGTTAAAACTTTATCAATAAGAACATAAAATTAAAGAATTTCGAGAATAGTATTTGAATATGCTCTAGTGTATTTTTTTCATCAACAAATTTATAAACAATAATACTTTATTACATGTTCCGGTTATAATCTATCCAATGAATTGTATGTGACGCCCATGACGGAGGGCGGGTCAAGCATGTATGGTAGACTTCTAGGTTGACAAGCTTCTGATAAATGGGTGCACATGTCACATTAGGCGAATCCCACATCGAAATGGGAGAGGAAAGTGAAGAGGTTTATAAGGCATGATACAAGTTCACATAGAATCTGCATTTTTTGGGGCTCGAGGTGGTGTAGCCCAAGAAGACAAATTCGTGCGGGCCTAGGCCCAAAGCGGACAATACGTGTCATAATCTTGGATAGTGACAAATATGATATCACAGCATAATCTCTCAGTATAATGGTGGGGCAAACCTCAACGAGGACGCTGAGTCCTGGAGGGGGTGAATGTCACGCTCATGACAGAGGGTGGGCCGATGAGAGCTGGTCAAGCAAGACTAACATGCTTCTAGGCTAGCAAGCTTCTGGAGAAGGGATGCACATGTCACCTTAGGCGAATCCCACATCGAAATTGGGAGAGGAAAATGAAGAGCTTTATAAGGCATGATACAAGTTCACAAAATTACTAGTGGATGGTAATCACAAATCGATGCCTTATAAAGCTCTTTATTAGGTATAATATCGATGTCTTATAAACCATAAATTTCAAAAGTTTTATAACCATATAAATATTATACCATGTTTTACGCCATAAACTTGAAAAAAATCATTTATTTCTTAACCTGTACCCATCCAAATTGTGTCACACCTGTACATACAAGTTCTTCTGATATTTGGTGATAAAAAGTCCACGCATCATTATTAGAGCCGTAAGCCTTCGACGAATGAAGAATTGTATGCCAGAGATAATGGACAAATAAAATTAAAGAAAATATGCAAATATAGTAGTATTAACATGCGATTCATTTTTGTTCTCTCCAAACAATGCGTTGGTATTTCCTGATTGGCTTTTGCCAGTATTTTCTTTTTGTTTTTTTCTTTTGGTAAAGTAGAGAATATTATCCAAAAAAAATTAAAGAACCAGAAAATACTGGTATTTTGAATGGTTTGTTTTCAGAAAACTCAACAATTTCACATGTAATATACCACAAACAACTTTTGACGTTAAAATTCATGATGTACGGATAGGTCTCATTAACACTAAATAATAAGCACCATTAATTCTCCTTCCAATTTTTTCGCGTTCGATGAAACGAATAGTCGTTCAACTTGAGTCATTCTGAAATCCAAATAAAATGATTCAGTTAATCTAACCAAGTAGGAATTAATGTGTTCAATTTTTTATTACTATTAGCACTTTTCTTTTCTATCGATAAAGTAAACATAGCAACAACCCAACAAAAAAATTTAATTCCAGGTCACACTGAAAGTAGAACCAGTATTCAAACGTTCAATTACGCTTTCTGAAAGGAATGACTCAGAGTTGGGGGACGAGACAGTTGTCTTTGGTAGAAAACATGAATTTGCAGATTTTACATGGTATCCTAGTCAGCGCAAGGTGGTTTATAGGATTGATGATCGAGTTCCTGCCAATACTCCCGGCAATGGACTTAATGACTTCCTCGGATTTCGCTCTACAGCCTCGTTGGTTCTCGCCATTTTAAGAAGCTCAGGTAATTAATTGGCTCAAAATTTGATAGCTAATTGCATGAATAGTTGTTGTAGAGCATAAACAATATTCACCTTTTGAATATGTTGATATTAGAGAGTTCCGTATAATTTGGAACATGTCAAAACTGGTTTTAGATACTTGGCCATGACTTAATTACAAGTTTCTTTGTTTTTCAGAGGAAAATCAAGAATCAAGAAACGATAGTGGTGGAAAATGCACAAGTGCCAAACTAACAACTTCCACATTGAAGATTGGTGCTTACGGGTTGACAAACAATGGTTACTTCTTTTAAAAATATGACTTTTTTGAATATGCGTTTTTCCATTTTCTTAATCTTTTCTTTTACGTATCCTACTATATTCATAACTTTTCACTATCATACAATTATCTTTTTCATAACCATGAAGTATTTGTTATTTTCAGTATCGTGTTGTTCATATAGGAAGAATTTACTTCCATGCTTTAAATTCTAAACTTGAAAACAAAACAAAAATAACTATCTGTCACATGATATTTTATGAATATTTCATCAGATCGGGCCCCAATATGTTTTGTACAACCGTAGTGGGTGTACATTATTCTAAGCCCTAGAGTACAATCTAATGTTGCTATAATAGGACACAAAGTCAAATCATCAAAATTTTGGAAACAAACAGGAGAAAAGGATTTGTACATTTCTTTAATATACTGAGTAAATTTGATTTATGCTCTTTATAGCATGTGGACAATCTTTTCACTCTCCAAGCAGTACTTGACATGTAAAGGATTTCTTATTATAAATTTTGACTAGATTATATTATAAGTGTTTGGTCCAAGTCTTTACTTATTAGTAATATCAATCTCTTTAATTATATTTTTCGAGGAAGAGTTTTTTCTTTTGAACGTATCCTTGTGAATATATATATATTAATCAAAAAACAATAATTAATAACTCGCATTTGTCTCAGGTTTTGCCTTTACTGGCTACCCAGTGGTTGGATTTCACAACCGAGTCCAAGCATCAGGAACATGCCTAAATAGCCTTGAAGATGCAAGAATCACAGCATGCCCTTGGGACTCTAGAGTTAAAGGTCTCTTCTTTCACCAAACAACATTTAGTATTAACTTATCCAAAGTCAAAGGCTTCATTCAAGATGTGCAAAAGCTAGTTGCTTTGGAGCCTAAGGCACTATGTGTCTTAGATTTGTACAATGGCATCCTAATGAGGTACCTTACAACTTCAAATGCTTACTTGGGTGAACAAGAAGATGCTTTGGATTTTGACATCACATATTATAGAAGCAAAGACCCAATGTCCCCTAGACTCTTTGAAGATTTTCTTGAAGAGGTTGAGCAACTTGCATTCTTCAAATATGGGGCCTTACCACATTGGGGAAAGAACAGGAATGTGGCATTTATTGGGGCAATCAAAAAGTATAGAAATGCTGACAAATTCTTGAAAGTGAAACAAAGGTATGACAAATTAGGGTTATTTTCAAGTGAATGGACAGATCAAGTTTTAGGGTTAAAAGATGGGTTGACCATAGTTAAAGAGGGGTGTGCTCTAGAAGGGCTATGCATTTGCTCTGAAGATATTCATTGTGCCCCCCAAAAGGGTTACTTCTGTCGGCCAGGCAAAATTTACAAAGATGCGAGGGTGTGTGCTCGTTTGTCGTCGCCATAAAGTCCTACTTATGCCGTTTCAATTTAAATGACATATTTCGCTTATCGAAAATCAAGCAGCATGAAGTTTGATCAACATTTTAAAATATATTTTATTATCATATTGACATAAGAAAAAATATAACTTATAGTACTTTTCGTATAATTTTTATATATCTAAATTTTAATTTTAAATACTAAATTAAACTAATTTAATTTAGTTTCAAAGTTTAGTTAATGATCGATGTATCATTTAAATTTGAAAAGAGAGAGTAATAAATTTAATCTTGATTTCAGATGTAATAGAAAATGACAGATGGTAGAGTGCGCTTTTTCCACTAAACATTCCCTTATCTTGGTGAATGGGTAGGATATTATCAGTTTAATAAAATGAGGTTAGATGCCACGTCACCTTTTCTAAAATTATGTATTTGTCCTTTGATTTCTATTATTATACGGGTAGAGATATGCGTAATCTCTGCCTAGGCATATATAATATCTATGTATATTATATTAAAAGTACGAAACATTTTACTGTAATGTCGTACCTTTTTTAATCTTGAAAAATAGATTCCACACCACATAATTGATGTGTAGTTTAAAATTCTGCCTAGCATATTTTAAAATTCTGGTGATCAAGCAAAATCTTGCCCCGTGTGCTTTAAAATTGGCGCCGGGCTATTTTTCGAAAATATTTCTTAACAGGATCAAAATATAAACAACAATTTAAAAAATTCTATCCAGCGTCATTTGTTGGGTTTTAAAACCATCTAGGCCCAAAACTTTTCCATTTTGTTTCTTAATTACCACTCAATTATGAGTAAAAATAGCACGGGCTAGCCAGTTTTCGGACTGATAATTCAAAAATAAAGAGCGTTTGCAAAGTCATTGAAAAATAGCTACTATTTTGCTGCAATACGGACCGGTCCATTATAATATACAGGAGATTTGTACACCTGTGTATAAACTTCCAGCATATTATGCTGGAACTCCAACACGCGAAAAATTCCAGCACAATATATTGGAGATTGGAGCACCTGCGTATGAACTTCCAGCATATTAAACTGGACCGGTATATTATACTGGAACTCCAGTATATTATGCTGGAATATTTTCCGAATATTGAACAGTGTTTTCGTTCAGATTTATCTTTATATAAAAAGTGGCTAAATTTCGATTACTTTTGAAACTGTGACTATATTTCAATTATCACTTGTAAATCTGGCTATTTTAAAATTTCTCCCCAATTATGATCTTTTCTTCATTATTTTCTTTTGGGCTTTTAGTGTGAACTACTTTTATAGAAAGTGAAATGTGATAGAGGTTATTTTTGCTAAAATAAGAGTATATTGTCCTTTTCCTTTTGGTTTTCTATGTTTTCTTAATTAAATCATTGTGGCACTATCCTGCTACATGCAAACTAAACATTTCCAAGCCATCGAAAGAGATTGGTTTTAATTGGTAGTTGAGTTGTCAACATCGAATTTTCAAATGGATTGAGTTTGTAGAAGATCAATATGGACGTCCAGTTCTATCACACCAATAATTAATGATTCTCCTCGTTTTCTTCCTTCTTTCCATCTCTATCAATTTACTTCACTAGTATATTAAGAAAATTACTATATCAATCATCATGTCTAGAGTTTAAAATCGACATCATAGAGATATTCAAAAAATATCTATATGTAATCCTCCAGTAAGATTTATATTTATTAAAATAAGATATATTACCCGTTACAACAGATAAATATGACATAATAATAATTTCTTTTTATATTATCAATGTATATAAGTTAAACTCACCAATTTAATTTAGAAATCAAGACGAGTTTGTGAAACAAGCAAGTGTTTTACTTTTACATTATTATGGAGGTAAATATTAATCCTTTTAATAAACAAGATGATTTACTAGAATCCTCCCAAGGATGTAATCCACCTTTTCGCATCATATTGAGGAATTACATGTTATTACTAGACCATTCTATAACTGAAATTGCATATTTTGCAATATTAAAAAGTTTTAAAAAAATAAGAACAAGAAGTAAATAACATTTATAAACACTAAAGGATAGCATGAAACCAAAAGGAATTTTTATTTTATAAACATAATAAATGGGAGAAAAAAGTATGTGAAGATTTAAGAAAGACTAAAAGGAAAAATAAGGTCAAGGTGAAATATTTAAAATGTATACTGTAGAAGTGAGTTTGATTTTTGTTTGGTCTGCGTATATCTTATATTTTGATTTGAAATGAAGTTGCTTTTCCATGGACTGAAGGAATCGGAGATGGCATTCTAATAAATAATAAGGGAATCTTACGGTTATGTCCAAAATAAGTCCTAACTTATTAATCTCTAGCCATTAATTATAAATTTACCAAAACTAGCCATGCATATACAAAAATTAAAAACCCAAATAATTATAGATTCTTTCTTTCTAAGAATCACAAGCAAAGATCTCCTTCCATATTTTTAAGCTTGATCAGCAACATTAGATGCAAGACAGAAAGGAAATTTTATGAACGAGGTAGCAAACAAGGTGATGAAATACAAAAAAATTAAAACAAAATAAATACAAAATTCTAAAAGCCTAAGAAACAATAGACCCCTTTTCATGGGTATGGTTGAAATTCATTGAAAACCTATAGATGAATCAATATACAAAATTTGAGGAAGATTGGAGGTGATTTGGACGGATTTGGAATCAAAATTCGTAGTTAAAATCAAGTTCAAAAAATTCTTATGTGGCACATGTATCAAACATATATCTCGCATTTATCTTACACACATGTATACAAGATATATATGTGTGATACACATTTGATACAAATATGATACATATGTGATACACAAATGACACACAGTATGATACACATATCATTTTTCCATGTTTATCTTCTACTTTGAATTATTAATTCTAACCACCTCAAAACTCTATCAAATCATCCCAAAACTGATATTTAAACTTCTTAAGATGTATCCAATGTATTCCAACATAACCTACTCAAAAGAAAGCAAAAATTTAATTTTTTTTGTTATAAATAGCTAGTTGGCTAATATTGGTAATATTTTATGAATTTGATAATTTTTGCCTTAACTTACTATGTGCTGACATAATTGGTAATCAGTGGCGGACCCAGGAGTTTGTGCAAGCGAGTTCAATCTTAGAAGTATATAAATTTAGTGGTAAAATAGTAGTTGTCTAGTGGGTTCAAATAAAATATTTATGCAAAATTTACACAACGTTAATCCTAATTTATGCATATACACAATATTATTTTTTTGTGAAGTGAGTTCAGTTGAACCCGCTAGCAACCACTTGGATCCGCCACTGTTTGTAGTTTCCCTAAAAAATTGCAGAAATTTGAGATATTTTTGGGGTGGTCTTTAACTTTTGATTATTCGGCCAATAATATTGCAGAATTTCAAAGTCAATAGTTAAAAATATTGCACATCGGTCGATGCTTGTAAATTGACGTTCTGCCAAGCCATGGGGCAAACAAAAATAAAAATTCAATACTATCCAATTTGAGAGTTATTTGTGTAATTCATCCTATTCTGATATGGGAAAGTTACACATATAACCGCTCGACCAATAATATTTACAGCACCTAGCCAAAATATATTTTACATATTCTAATCTCGGAAAGTGGAACTACTTACCAAAGTTTAAATGTATATGTAATAAACATAATATTTTTTGGTTTAGTAGTTTGACAAATAAGAATTTTTGGATCCAAATTCAGAACTTACAAAGTACTTTTATTGAAAACATAAGTTTTATTTGTTTATTCTATGGTCAGACTACAGTGTTAGTCCCGCTTTAGTTAAATTTTGTATCCAGTTTTATGACAGTGCATATTGTTGAATTGAACTTTACCTCATTATCTTTATCACACATTTGGGATATGCTAAGGAGATTATGCTTGAGTCCAACCACATAGTACACATCCTCTATAACATGAGAGAGTGATTTACCAACTTTATCAATTCCAGTTATTTGTTCTTTTTTTCTATTTTCAAAGGACACATTCCCTCCTTGGATAGCTATTAGTGAGAGGAAATTCTTCTTTCTAGATATCAATCTTGAGCTTCCTATCACTTTGGCCTGCAACAAAAATCACAAGTTAGCTTTAGGAACCCACACAAGCTTGGGTTCCTTTTTATGGAAAATGATAAATCAAGTCTCTTTTTGCCAAGAAAAGTAGGACATTGGATGTCACATTCTTGTTAACCTTAATCCATTAGGCTGAACAAAGGAAGTGATTTTTGTTTTATCTTTCACTACCATTTGCTTAGGTGAGCTAAAGGTATTCTTAAACTGAGCACGAATTAAAGGAGGGCAACTATCTCTAAAATATCCAACTTTTTCATAATGAGTGCATATTTTATTGTCAGAGATTCCTACATACTTAGGATCAAATTATACAGGTTTCTTGTAGCCAATTGTTGACTTATTTATGCTGCAATTTTCATTTAGCAATTTCAATGCATCAGATGATTTATGCCACTTACTTATTCTAGATAGCTCATACATTACCTTTTCAAGATTCTCTTGAAGAGTCTTATTCCTGATATCGGTATCGTATAGACTATCCTTAAGCTTGCTTAATTCTTTTCAAGGTTACTTTGAAAATCATTGATTATTCCCTTTCTATTTTTAAAAGCTTGTTGCTGATTCAGTGTTGTAAATTTAAGAACCTTTAAGACTCTTAATCTGTTTATCAAGGTTAATTTTGTTTGTTTCAAGTTTTTTGAAATCAAGTTTGACACAAGAAAAATTACTTACTAACTGATAATTTTCAGCACTTAACCTGTCAACTTCACTCATCATAGTTACTATTATGGCCATTAGTTGTTTGTTAGACATAGTATGGATATTCTCTTTCATATTAAAGATACTTACCTGACTTGAATAATCTTCAGCCTCTGAATTACTCATGACCATCATCCTTATCACTTCCTCTTCTAAGTTGTTCTCTTCAATTGTCATTAGTGCTAACTCAATATTTTCATTTTCATATTCACCCTCCAAGGTACTCCATATGTTGTTGGCAGAGGAGCAGAAGGACACC